GGCAGTCAGGCACATGGGCCTTCTGCACCCCCGTGAGCCTGGGGGGGGGGGATCAATGGTCAGAGGGCCGAGATCCCAGCCTTGCTTGAACTTCCGAGTCAGCGGCCGTGGATTCTCCACCCCGAGGGCTGAAGTCTCCCAGACCAGATGACTTGATGGTGACCCCTATGAACCCTGAATGTCCCATGATTTTGTCGCTCCTTAGGAAAGATCCCACTAACACACGACTTCAAACACAAAACCCCTCGACATTTGGAGGGGCTGCAGCTGCTCCAGATGTTGCAAACATTCCTCAGAGGAGCTGCTCCCGCCTGGTACACTCATCATTTGCGAATTAAAATGGCACAAAAGCCCCTGCTACCAACTGGCTCTCTGGGCGGCCAACATCTTCTCCAACTCGGTTTTTGCAACGTCCCCTTTTGGGTGGTTTCAGGCCTGCAGATCAAGCCTCTGCTCCAGAGCAGCTTCCCCTTTCTGAGAGCCCCCCAGATGCAGTGAGTGGCGCCTGCCACCCTCCCCTGAACCAGCGCGGCTTAGCATGCGCGGCTGGCTGCAGAGCAGTGCCTTCTTCACTGTGGCACCTACCGCACGGAAAGGGTTGGCTGGCCTCGAGTGGGGTGTGCGCCTCATTTGCCTATGCGTGCGTGTGTACGGATGTAAACTCTAGAACAGATTAAGTTGCTGAGGCACAAGAGACACAGACAAGCACAATCCACATTCAAGTTGCTGAGCATCAGGGTTCCGTGAGGTGAATTGGTCGCCACAAGGACAACAGCAAAGGCAGCCCATTTAATCTGCACCTTCTGCAGGTGAGTCTTGTCTTTCAGGGCCAGCCCAGCAACACATTTCCCAGCACTCTGCAAGTGCAGTGAAGGCCCATTTTACAGCTGAGGAAACCAAGGCCGAGTTGTGAGTAGTTATGTACAGATCAGAGGAATAAGTATGCCGTGGACATGGAACAGAAAATCAAAATTCCTAGCTCAGGGGAGCTGGGCATCTACCTTGAGCCCACCTGTACTTTAGAGAACGAATCCACCCCCCTCCCACACACACACAGAGGACTCACTGCATCCAGGGGAAATGGGCCACCAGAGCTCAAGCTTTTGAGGATTTCCGTTCAAAAATAAATCTTCCTTTAGAACTCAATGACCTCCATTTTGCATCTCATAGAAAGAATGAACCCTTTGTTGCTGACCGCCAGCTTTGTACCACCCTTCCCATCAGCCCCAGCTGCTGATGTGATATCACAGGGACTGCATCTGGGGGGGTGACCCCTATCTTGTACATTGCATAGACTGAAACAAAAACCCAGGCCCCACAAAGGGCAAACAAACAAACAGGCCCCCCAAAAGGAAAATGAGTCCAGCTTGCATCCCACTTTCGCAACCGTCGAGGTCATCCCATCCCTCTCAAGGACAGCATCTGGAATTGGTGGCAGGCCCAGCTAAGCAAGGAGCGTTGCCCGTCCCACAACACGGGACGCAGGTACACTGCCTCTGCAGATAGAAGCCTTGTCTAAGCGCTACTAACGATTATGGCGGCGTGGATATAAGGAGACGAAGAACTCCCATGAGAGAACTTCAGCTCACCAATCACTAATTAGATGGAGCCCCATCTCTCCAGGCAAGGGACCATCCTCATGACATCCCAAGGAAAAACAATGGGGGCAACTGCGAAATCCCCACTCGCTTGGGAGTGGAGAGAAGCATCGTGAGCCACCGGAGACAGACGGAGAGCAGAGGTACTCACGCTATCACACACAGACTCAGTTCACACAGGACAGCCGACCCCGGGTAGGTCGCCGGCAGTTCGTAGACCAACCACCGTTTAGCCCCTAAACAACCCGGTGCCCCCATTTGCAAGTCACGCTCACACTGACGGATGGGCCAAGCCTGGGTCGCTTACCCAAAGTGGAACTGAGGAGAACGCCGAGACAACACGATCGCTCACTCCTTCCTGCTCGCAGCCTGCAAATCGGAGGTTGACAAGCCCGGGTTGCAGTTCTGTGCAAACCGGCCCATGCACCTTAGTTTCCTGCGCTCTGGCTGGACGTTAAAAACAACAGCCATTACTATGCTGGCGTGATCTCGACTGGAACACCAGAAGTACACCACGCGTGTCATATGTACGATCGCACGTATCTTAAGAACTCATTTCAGCTGCTCATTGCTACTTCCGCAGAATTAGAAGGAAAATAAGAACTCATTTTATCATTCTGTGTTTATGTTTACTCTGGCTTCTTTAGCCTGCAAGGTGACAACAAACCCTTTTATTTCTATAATAGAGGCTTATTTTTTGGTCAGGAAAAAGGGAGGGGACCCATCCAAATAAACCTTCTCCAGGGATCTTGCAGGTGTTGTGCATTGCCAAATTCATCTAACCTTAATCTTTCCATATACAACCCAATGAATAAAAATTAGTACGCCTCTGTTATAAAATGATAAATAGACATTCAGGGGGCTCAGTAAGTGGAGTACATGGGCTGTTTGTGGTTTCGCAGAGATTTTACAGCCCCCAAATATGGAAACAGCAACACCCTCAGTAAGGTTTGTCACAAGTACACTCTCTGCACACTTCATCCGAGGTGACTGAAGGCATGGAATTCCTGCCGGGGTCTTGCGGGACAAGAGCTCTTCTGGAGATGCTGCCTGGGTGACGGGCCTTTCACACATTCCCAAGGGATGAAGGCGCCTTCTGAGAACCAGCCCCTTATGGGGGGCCAAAGCTGAGCATCCAGAAAGGTCCAGCTCTTCCAAAAGTCCTCTTGGCACACACTTTATTCTCCAAACTCTGTTCAGAACTGCTTCTCCTCACTCCCCCAACTTTGCTCCACAACCATTCCACTCTTAAAGGCAAACTTTAAGCCAAACATAAAACGTACAGTGACCTCACTGGATCTCACTAAAAGAAAAGTACATGCACTTAGATTCAGTGTGCCTTATTTCACCACCAAAATCCATTAATATATGCCCATTTCAAACCATTTTAAAACAGAAAAAAGCAATTAACACAGCTAAACCACGTTTATTAAAGAAGTGGTGAAAAAAAGAGTAAGTCTCCTCTCGAACACTCTTTGCCAAGAAAGAAGGCTGAAAGAAAAAACAGCTGCGTTTAGGTCCACGTTCCAAATTAAAAGTAATCTAACAAGGTCTGTGGGGATGACTCCTTTGGCTGCACACTGAAGTTGCATTTCTACCAAGTCAGTGTAATAGTACTGAGAGGGGATAACGCTGAAAAGGAAATTCCTCAGAACTGAGGTAGTTTAAGTGATCAGCATGTTTTTCCCAGCTTCTTGCAAAAAGGAAAATTGCTATTTACAATCCATCCCTGGCCCTCCACCCCTGCATAAATTATAATTCTTGTTCAGGTTTTATGCTTTTGTGACTGCTTTCTACAGAAAAGGGAGTAGGGAAAACAGAACACCAGATAGCTATGCCAGAATTATGCCTAGTTTCGGAACATGGCGTTTTAATAAATAACTGGCTACTTCCAGAAATACTGTGCCTCTGGGATTGCTTTATTGTAGCATCTCAGCCAAGGCCGTTCCATCTTAATATATCTTAATATAAAATTATTCTGCAGGAATTTGGTGTGTGAACAAAAATCCATGACCTTGAGCTACCAAGTAATGAATGCATAAAAATGGGGAAGGGGGAAAACCCCTCCAAAGCCAAACACTCCCCATGTTTGCAATGCGATGCAGGCCTGTGATCAATTCTTGCTTCCCTCCATCTCCTTTCTTCTACACTCAATGGATTGTTTTTAGATCCAGAAGAAACATGCTGGGTATCTGCTTAAAATAGGAAGACGCTTCTAGAACAGTTTTTAGTCTTTCTGCAGACTTAACATCCTTGAAAGCAATTTAGTTCCATTTAAAAATAAAAACAGAACTATACACATTTATTTGTGAGTGGGAAAATCCATGCACAAGTCCACAACCCAGGTAAACCCTGTCTCTCTAGGTAAAAGCTCTCAGCCTCACCTGTTCCCCTAAGTCCACTTCCAAAACCAAAGGTAACTCGCCCGTTAATGAAGGGGTGGGCCACTTCTGTCCTCCCAGATGTTTCAGCCTGCAACTCCCACCAGACAGCATGGGGGGGGGTGTGGCACATCCGGCAGGGCAGGGGCTCATCAGGGCAGACCCCCCCACAATAGCCAGTTCCCGAAGAACAGTCCCGAAATGCAGGCAGCTGTGGTGACACCAGTACTAGCAACCTTCAGCTCCACCAGAAGCAGCAGGTCTTCCGTAAAGCCAATGTCCCCACCGATGAAAAGATTGCCGGTACCATGTCCCTGGAGTCCCATCTCCACAACTCCACTGTGCACGGACCGAAACACCTGGGGCGAGTCTTTCACTCTTCCGCTCTGCAGAGGAAGTACTTCCTCGCAGAGACCTTTCAGGGTTTCTGCGCAGAACATGAGTGGCGATTCCAGGGACACGGAGATGAGAACAGACGTAGCACAGGCAGGCCGTGTGCCGAGAAGCGAACCGGCCACGAGAACGGTGAGGAGCCCCTTCTTCGCCTCTAAGGAAAAACTCCCCTGAGTGAAGCAGGGAGAGGAGGAAAGGCAGGCCAGCCGCGCCTCCCACAGCAAGGAACAAAGTGTGCTGGAGCCACCCCTCGCATGACGCTCTAAAGACTGGAGGAGCCCGCCCCCCCCCCAATTAGCTCCACTTCGTTTTTCGATAAGGCATCTCGCGTAATGGATACACGTGGGAGCGTAACTAACAAAGCGACTTCTGTGGCTGGCTGGGCAGCGTCTTTCCCAGCCCAAGAAATACGATAAATTGTTTCCTAAAAACCCTTTTGCTTCTGTACAGATAATTTCAAATTTCAGGGCAGTTCCTCAATACATGCCAAGACGGAATTTTCTGTTGTGTTGTAGGAAATGGGCTAAAATAAAATTAAGGGGAAGGAAAGGGACGGCTCGGAGGGAGAACGAGGAAAGAAGGTGGTTAAAAAAAAAGACAAAAGCATCACTAACTCCAGACCTGTACAGACACTTAAGTTAACCACTTTTAATTGTGGTTCATCAGCCAACAGGACAGACTAACTGGTCCAAATCCTTGTGCATTTTTCCCGTCCTCCAAATTGGGCGAGAGCAGGAAAAACTCATTAAAACCAGTGACAACATTGTAAAAACTGTACATGGCTGTCCATTAACTTACAAAGGATTCACCCGCCCCCAAAAATCACTAGATGGCATAAAAGTGAAATCAGGTGCCGTTTAACAAATACCTTTTTTTTTTTTTAATAAAAGTCATTGTTTTCCCGTTCTTCAACTCTAAAAATAAAAAATAAAAAAATAAAGTGGCCCAGTTATCTCCACTGTCTTTGCCCGGCCAGGAACAGGAGGATGCTTGGGAGAAGGGCTGCCTGGGAAAGGCCCGGGCTGCTGGCCCCGTCCTTCGCCTTTTTGTCCATTTTGTTGACGTGCTGCGTTACGTCCGTGACGTTCAGCACCAATTCGGGGGAACACTCCTGCATTTCGCAGCCACTGCCGCTGCCGTCTCCACTTCCTTCGTCGCCTAGCAGAGCGAGGGACAAGAAGAGAAAAGTGAAAATCAGGGGCTTGAGGACTCTGGGGGAGCCCGCATTTGGCCCCGGTCCCCCTTGTGCATCGGGGAGGTTGGTCAAGGCTTGGGGGAAGGAGGTTCTGGGCCCCAAAGAGCTCACTAGTAACCCAGAGATGGGAAGGCTTGGAGGGCAGAATGAGGAGGTAACCTGGAATATTTGGAAAACCCTCCAATTTCTCAAAAGCCCTATAAAGCAATGGAGAAAAGCCTCCCCCACACTGAGCTTTGCTCGTTTCCACCTGCTCTCAATTTTTTCCTGCTTTCCCCCCACAGATGGTCACTTCTCCACTGGCAACTGTGGGCCAATCACTTTCTCTCAGCCTAGCCTACCTTGCAGGGTTGCTGTGATGATAAAAAGAAGGCAGGTGGGGAAGGGCCACGAGCTTGGTGGCAGAGGTCCAAGGGTTGATCCCTAGCAACATCTACAGGTAGATCCAGGGAAATTTCTGCCAGAAACCCTGGAGAGTTGCTGCTGCCAGTCTGTGTCAGCAATATGGGCCAAGGCCCTGACTCACTATAAGCCCAGTTCCTATTTCAAGTTCAAGTAAGTTCCTATTTCAGTCAGCCCATAATTCACAACCATGAGGTCTAGAATCTTCCTTTTGTTTTAGCAGAAGAAACGCTAAAGTGTTAGAGCCTCTGCTTTGTCTTGCAGAAGGAACCAGGTTCAGCCTTGGCTGCATCTCCTGGAAGGGCAGGAAGAGCCCCTCCATGAAACAGAGCCACCACTGCTGAGTGGAGTTGGCCATAGTGGACCAGGGTTCAACATGGCATCAAGCAAGTTCTGATGCTCCATCCATGTTTAAATTACAGTCAGCCCCGTGCACCAACAGTCAGGTCAGACGTCCGGCATGCTTACTTATATCGATGAAGTCAACGTCATTCCCGTTATACGCATTCTTCATCTTATTGGTCATCACCCGCAGCGCCATGATTTGCCGGCGAATTACCATGTCCACTTTTGACGTGTCGACTTCCACCTCAGGGTTGTTGGCCTGGTTGGCGAGGCCATTCGCCATCACGGCAAAGACGTACCTGTGATGACAAAAGCCGTCCATCTCGGGTCAGCGGCTCCCAGTCAGAAGTTGCCTTGACCCCTTTCTGGTCTCCTTCCCAGGAGCAACCCCAGTTCAAAACACCAGTAGGACCAGCCGGCAGCTGTAAACCAAAACCCCTGGAGGGCACCAAGTTGGGGAACACTTGCTTGGGATCCAGTTCCCTTATGTTCCCCAGGCATCTCTCCCATGCTTGGCCCTGGCCAGGAAGTAAGTCAAGCTGAGATCAAGTCTGCGGCCCCTTGGGGACTTGAGCGGATTCTGTGCACCAAGTTGCAAAGGACAGACTCCTCTGGGCAAAATGGACAAAAGACCCGATTCTTTGCAAGAGCATGCGAAGCCCAAAAGTCACGCCTGCAGAAGCAAAAAACCCCACTTGAACCTGCTTCCTGCTGGACGTCCACAAAAATCCCAGCATGAGGTGGACAGAGGGAAGAGAGAAAGTTGGCCCGAGTCTCAGGGAATGAGTGGAGGAAATCCGATGGATTCCTCACACTTCCATGTCAGGAACGAGGACAAAATTGCAGCTAGCAGACCGTCAAATGCTCAGTGGACCTTCAGCTCACATTGCCTTCTCTGACTTTGACCTGGGGGTCCAGCAACTCGAGGCGGTACTGATCTGTCAGGCAAGCTTTAGGGTTTAGGTAGGCTGGAAGTGGTACATAAAGGTAAAAATACATAGGATACAAGCAACATGCACCCTTCCCCTTATTTTGCTATCCCATTTGCAAACTGCAAAAGGGAAGGCACGATTCAGCTATTTAATCTTTGCAAATCAGTCTTGCTAAATTTTATCCATCTTTGCAATCTTTGTTAATTAATCTCTGTAAATCCAGAGAGCTTTGGCTATTGGGCGGTATAGAAATGTAGGAAGTGAAAATTAAGGCGCCGCTGCCAGCCGCTGCCTTAATTTCCCCATCGTGCCCTCGGAATGACAATCCTTGTGGGGGCAAGATGGAAAATTATAGATGGTGTTTGGCAGGAGTGAGGAGCTGTGGGGAGCCAGCGAAGTTCTGCACACACACCCTTCAAAACGTGCCAAAACCTTGCAGAAATGTGTATGGGGGAAGGCAGCTTTGCCCCACTGCTTCTCCCAAGCTCCCCGCAGCTCAGTCTCACTCCAGGAAAGGTCTCCCTTGCCCAAACACAGGAAACCGTGTGCTCCTCCTCTCCCTCTGGTGGCTGTTCCAGTAGTTTGTCTACACCTCCCACGATGCCTCCGCATTGGCCCTGCTGGCCAGGACAGGTGGGACCGGTCGGCTAGCTCACCTGCCGGCCACGAGCTGCCCTCCCTGCCTAGCCCTGGCATCCCTGCCAGAAGCGACTGATTAAGCCGGGTCCTACAAGCAGCTGCCAATGTCCAGTGGACTGACACCCGCCCCCCCCCCACGTGCTGCCCCCATGGCCTCCTACAAATAACTGGGGGTGTGGACACTGGGGAGCCCGGGCACGAAAGAGCACTCTGTGGGGTCCTCATTCCCCCGCTGCTGCTTCTGCACCCCACTGGTTCCCCTCCCCAAGCAGCACCCACCGCTTAGGGACAGAAATTTAGTGCTTCCGGGGGCCACCCACAACGATCTCGTGACAGATCTCCGCCAAGCTGTCCCAGTCCAGAAACAAGCCTTCCCACTTCCGACGGGGCGTCATCCAGGAAGCGACGCCTTGACTGCAGAAGCAATAGATCCCACCAGCACAACGGAGCTGGGGTGGGACCCACGGCTTCTGGAACGGGATCGGCATCAGTGCTCCACTGGATACTTGGCGGGATTTGGAGAGGCTGGAAGTCAAGAGGCGGAGCGGCAGAATGCCACGTTCCGATTCCTCCCAAACCTGCTTTTGCTGCTTCCGTTCCAGCACTCGTCGTCGTCGAAGTTGCTGGCAGCCATGTTCTCGTTGCTGCAAATGCTGTTGGGAAGTGAAGACCAGAACTTCTTCGCCTGCTTCAGCTTTTCTTTCACGTCTGTCACCTGCGTAAGTTGAGAAGACACCATAGCCACAGCGATTCCGCCCTTGGTTTGCCATCTTCAGGCTGCTGGTCAAGCCAGGTCAGAATGGTCTGCACCAGCTTCCTCAGCCTGAAATCCTCCAGTTATTTCAGACTTCAACCAGCGTCAGCCTGAACCACCATGGTCAGCAGCCCGGAATGCTGGGATCGTTCTCCAGCACGTCTGGAAGGTGCCAATTCGGGGAAAGGTGCTCACCAGGGTCCTGCAAATGCTCTTCTGAGGTTGCTGGCCGGGCCTCTCCCGGCCCTGCCGGGGGTTCCAGAAACTGGACGTACGCCCTCATGCGCCAGTCCTCTCAGCCCGCGGCCCCTCCCTCCAGGCACGGCTGGAGGTCTGCGTCACTCAGAAAAGATAGTGCTCTGCATATATTTTTATGCAGGCTATTTTTGGAGCGACCCGCCACTCAGTGAGCCTGCCAAACGATGTGCAGATAAAAGCCATGTGCCAAACTGGGACGGATGGTTAAATCTGAGGGTGGTGCTAACTCTTAAACGCTGTGCAGAGCAATGTTATCTTCCCCGGCCCCCTAGAGAGGAGGACTGCCTCAGTCTTCCCAAGGAGCAGCTACCACGCCCAGGGTGCTGCCACAGAACAGGCCATGCCGCGAGCATCCATCAGCCTCCTCACGGTTTGGCTCTTCGGCACGGACCCTCTGCCCAAGATGGCGCTTAAGAATGGATGCAGAGCTCAGGCCGGGATCGGGCTTCCTTGCCCTTCCCTTGTTCAGCCCTGGCCTGGGAGGGAGCCAAGTGGAGATCAAGTCTGCACTCGGGGTGGCGAGCGGACTTCCTGTGCAAAATGTAGGGGCACATGGTTCTCAGTGTAAGATGTGCACACTACGTAGGAAGCCAGTCTGAGAGAATCAAGGCAGAGCGGGCCAGAGTCTGGGGGGCTGAGCCAAGGAAATCCAGAGGCTTCCCACCTCCAGAGCAGATTCCTCACGCATCAGTATGCCAAAGGTGGCTCAGGTCTCCCTTCCAGAGAATGTCTAAGTGACCTCTAGCATCCACCATCAAAAGCAGGTAACGTCAAAGCACTGCTGGATCGACCAAATGGTCCTGTTTTCCATAGTGGCAACAAGATGGTTCACACCAGGCAACAGCCCTCTCTCGCTCCTGTTCGACAGCAGCTTTCTAATCCTCAAGGATTCCAAGATGAGCTCCAGAGCATGTAAAGCTGTTGATGCTTCTGATGCTTGCATCCCTAAAAGGAAAACCTTTCTATTGGGACAAGAGGAGGAGAGTCGCAAGTTTGGACCCCACAGATGAAATTTCAGGGTGGATCTCTGCAAACTTACCAGCCTATCCAAGCTCGTGCCTGCCGCTGTCGTGGGCCGCTCCTCTGGGTTATAGGGTCTGAAACGAGCGCTGAAGCTGCTTTCTGGAGCTGAGCGAGAGGTCCGACTTTGCACCAGCATCTTGGGCTGTCCACATCCTTGGAAGACCTGGGCCGATGGGCGACACAGAACTGGGTTTTAAGCCACTTTGCTTTGACCAGCCCTAAAATCCTATGGCAATTATACCAGCAGTCTGGAATGAAAGTTCTAGCCCGGGCAGATTTGGAAGGAGATATTTTCTGAGCCGTCACAGCCAACGCTAATTTACAAGGATCATGTCCCACTTCTTAAATTAGTATCTTGACCCCATCATGGTACCTTTGTGCCTGCCTTCCAGCTTTGTTTCTCACCTTTAAAAAAAAGATCACCCTCCCCAACTGAAGCATCCAGTGATCCTGCAACCCAAACTGTAGAAAGCACTTAAAACAACCGCAGTGCTTAACTTCTGAGTGTGGATGTTGTTTTTGCAGACTTGGAACTGGTTGTGCACTGGCATTGCTGCGATTTTGTATTTTAGTACTTCTGTGTATCACTTCAAAATCCTTGTGCCGAAAAGCAACATAAACAGTAACACAAAGCTACCTAAGAGAAGCCTTGTAAATACAGGCAGGCACCTGCATTCGGACCGTCAAGCCGTGAAGTTTCAAAGATGCAGAGGTGCTTTTGTGTACTTTACTGTAATACTGGAGAGGCGAGTCCAGCAAAGCACGACCCAGGTTGCGCCACACTCAGGGTGCGATGCCACATGAGGGGAAAAGCACATGACGACCAACACGGGTGCATGCCTGCTCTGCCACATGCTCAGAAGCTTACTTCCAGGAGTCCTCCACTGTCATTGCCAACCTATTACGGTACAGTATTGTGTGGCCGATTGTGTTAGCTGGGTGCCTAGGCTAACGTGCAGGACTCACAAACAAACAGGACTTTCAAATGCGCTCTTGGAACGGAACTTGTGTGTATGTGGGGGAACAGAACTTGTGTGTATGTGGGGGAACGGAACTTGTGTGGATGTGGGGGACTTCCTGTAATCCCATACATCCCATTTGCTCCTGAGTTGCTTCCCCCACAGGCAGCATCGCAATTCGTCTTATTAGCCCTTTAGGACAAAAGCACCCTTCTATGAGGCAAGAGGGACCGAGAGGTCTGTCCCTCCTCCACCAGCCACTGCTCTTCTCCGTTGGTTCCAGAGGTCCCAAAGCCAGGCAGCTGATTAGCACCCTGCTCTGTGGGTGCTGGAGTTTGGGACCCTGGCGAGGACCGAACGTCAGAGTCTTTCCGTCCTCCTGCACTGACTGGCCCAGACCTGCGGCCCCTCCCGAGCCCCCCGGTCCTACCTTCTGGGAGACCTGCATGCTGTTATCTTGCATGTTCATGATGGCGTCGGAGATCTTCACATCGATGGGGTCCATGACAGATTCGATGTTGAAGGGCCCCTCCAGTCTCTCTGCCACCATCAGCATCGAGTCTAAGCACAGAAGGCCAGAGAGCGGTGAGAAGTGGTTGAGCGCAGAGGCAAGCAATCCCTGCCCGCCACTAGCAACTTCTCCAGAGGACTGTCTTCCAGGGCTGCCTCCTGGGGGCAGAGCCTTTTCCACAGTGGCCCCACATCTCTGCAGTGCCCTTCCCAGGGAGATCTGCCTGGCACCTTCTCGGTGATGCCAAGTTAAGACTTTCCAACAGGCACTGAACATTTAATCTGTTGCTCCGGTTTTTAACTTCCTTGCAGTACCAAGCTGGTATTTTCACTGCTGTTTTTAGTGTCTGGGTTTTTCAGGGTCACAAACTAAATAATTTAACATCTTTCCCTCAAAGAGGAATTTCTATACCCAGTTGAATTTTGTAACCCCTTTGAATCTCCCCAAAGTTTTCCTTCTCTGCATTGTTCCATGCTATTCTTGCACTTCGCACACACACTACTCTAAACAAAACCCAGAATTTGGCTGCATCTGCCCTGCCCTGCCCTGCCCTGCCCTGCCCACCTCACATCTCTCCTGTCTGTCTGCTCAGGCCTCTCCCTCCTGTCTCCAGCTGCATCAAGCTATTGCTACTGAGAAACAAGAGCTTAATCATGCAAATAGGTGTTGCTGCCGAAAGACACAACTTGGCTCACTTACTCTGGCAGCCTAGCTAAGTTCTTCCATGCTACAGATTCAAGGAGGAATGGATATTTGAGATTGTAGGTTCTCTGGTCAGGTGCCCTCCTGACATTTCAGATGTCGGCTCGCAGGATTCCCGACCATGAGCCATATTGGCTTGGGAAGATGGGCGCTGAATCCAAAAGATCTGGAAGGCACCAGGCTGAGAAAGGTGACCTCTGTTCCAGCCTTCTTTTCCACACGGCCTTTCCCAGCATGTGAAAAACAGAGATGCAGAAACGTGGGGCATTTTCTAGGTAGATTTCCCCACCTTCCAGAAACCAGAAGGAAAGGGCTCATGTCTCAGCTTTCCGCCTCCCACTCCAGTCCCTCACATGGGCGCCTGTTGCTCTGTGCTCTCCACCCAGCTCACATTCTTCGCCCCGGGGGGAAAGATTCCACTCTTCAAACAGCACCCTTCCCTGAAATTTTGCAATCAGGACAGATTATCTCGAATAAATAAGGCCATCTGTCTTTTCTCATACTGCATTTCAGGTTTTCCCGTTTAAAGATAGTTTAAAAAACTAAAAAAACAAAGGAAAAAAATCAGAGCACAGACATGCTTTCGGCGAAACGGGTCTTTCATCACTCATATTTAGTTAGAACCTTAATCTATCAGGGTAGGTATCACTGAGGAAACTTTAGGGATCCTCTGGGGTTTGCGTAGGGTGGGGGCAAGGCAGACAATCATCCCGCCTGCCAGTTTGGGGAGGAATCCCCAAATGGACTCCAGGTTCCCAGGAAAAACTGACTCGGCAAGCTTCGGGTGTCATTTTGTAACACTACAGCTCCCGGACAGCCAAGTAGTGCGTGAAGTGCACGGCTCCACCACTCCCGCTCGGCTCTTCCGGCCAGCAGGCAGGATCCGGGGAGCTCCCATCCTTGGCTCGTTTAGCACCACGCCTGTGCCAGGAGATCCAGCCGGTCCTCCCCCAGGAATGCTGCCACCGAACGGTGTTGCTCTGGGCGCTGGAAGGGCCGAGCGCCTGCACTCTGTCCACACGGCGATCAGCCAGCGGCACCGTCCCGCCCACGTTCCCAGCCACTGGTGTACACAGGCGCTCTGCCTCCGGTACCAGTGCTGGCATTTTCCGTCAAGACCAGCAGCGCTTTGGGAGAAACTCACCCCTTCAGAACACTCAATTCTGCCCAAGCCGAGAGCGACCACAGCCACGTAAAGCAAGCTCTCCGGAAGAAACCACGCCACGTGGCGGTGCGTGAAGTCAGCCTGCGCTAGGCGGTCCTGAGCCGCAGCTCCCAAAGCGCCCCTTGATACTGGGCAGCTGCAAAAATGGGTACGCCCAGCCACGGGAGAGTCCCTCAAGTAAACGGGACCCGTCAAGAGTCCCGCCAGCCGTTCTCAGGCCGCGCCAACTAAGTCAGCGGAAGGGACGGTGCTGGAGAGACTGAGCGGTGGTGCACCAGCAGGCAGGCTCGCAGGAGAGAACAGCCCCCCCTCTGCAATGGGGGGGCTGTTCTCGACTTTTCCTGGCAGAAACACCCCAAGCACAAGCACACCCGCACAAGTCCTAACCGCTTCCCCACGGTGAAGCGGGGAAGGCCGCAGACAAATGCACAGCGAGTTCGGCAGGACCGCAGCCTGAGACTGCAGCAGGCTCCCAGACTTCTGAGAAATGGCCGCTCCCATGAATGCCCCCCATTGTGTGGTGGGGGACGAGCGGGGGAACCACGTCGACATGCCAGCAGACTGCAAGCGGCGAGGAGGCGCGCAGAGCCGGTTCTGTGCCGCCCGCACAGACGGCGGCCTCCGGACGTATTGCTTCGCCACTGCCATCCCCCCATCGGAATGGCAGCACTGGCAGGGGATGATGGCAGTTGTAGTGCAGAGGGTGGGGTGAGGGGAATGTTGCAAGTGTCTGCCCCCCCCCCCCCCCCCGTTTACAAACAAGAACAGCAGCTTTGTTTGTTAAGAGTACCTCCCGGCACACCACGTTTGGAGGCATTTTTGTTGGTTTACCTTAAAAATCAAGGAGTATTTCCATTGGCCAAGGAGGGGAAAGACTTCTGATCCGTGAAGTGTTCCCACAGAAAGACTCTCAGGGGAAAAAAGAAGAAAAACAGCTACTCCGGGTTCTTTGCAAACTCGCAGGGCAGGGATGAGCACTCCGCAAATGCCGTGCGGATCCGGGCGCCTGCTCCTCGCAGTGCCATGGCATCGCTCGCGGGACCATGAAGGAATGCAAGCCTCCAGGGGCGGGGGGGTGGAGAGCGCGGACACCACCGCACATGAAAGTGTAAGGAGCCTGCTGTTGATCTTGGGGGGCGCATTCAGCTCGAGACCTTTTGGGGGTGGCAGGCACTGGGGAGGGAGTGACGAGAAGAAGTACACTTTAATCACAGCGGGCGACAGATCGGGGTGGGGGGGCACCTAAAGCCAAGAAACGAGGACTGGGGCAGGCATCTGGCTCCTGCCCCTGCTGTGACCCAGCGGGTGCCACGGCCCGGCAATGGCGGCATGCGGCACGTTCTGCCGGCGGCACCTTTTGGCATTGGTGACATCAGCTGCGGTTCGAGACGACGATGCTTTCAGGAAGGTGATACCCAACCAAGGAGGTGAGGAGGGGCCGTTCTGGGACCTCAGGGGCTGCCTTTCCTCACATGCGAGTTTCCTTCCCTCCCCCAAACTTGGGCTGAGTGGCTTCTGCCTCCCACAAAGAAGTCTGCATGGCACTTGCCCCAGACAGGGCGTTCTTGGTGGTGGCACCGGGGCTGCGCAATGCCCTCCGAGACCACGGCTCCACTCCAGAAGGCCGCCTTTGAGGACAGTGCCCCCCGGAAGAAGCTTGCCACATATCACAGCACAAAAGGCTGCAGTGCCACAACAATGAACTCGGCGCGGTCGAAATGACGCTGCACGCCGACACCCAGCGGCACCCGACACGTGCCTGGCTCACTGGCTGGCTGAAGTGTGTCAGTCTTCTGGCCCTCTCAAAGGCTTGCAGCAACTGGGCATCAACAGGAATGGGACACCCCAAAAGGCCCTGAGGTTGCCTGGCTCAGCTGCAGACAATTTGGGCACATGCTTGGTTTTTTAAAAAGGGCCAGGAGGCATGGGCTGTCCGTCTACTTGCATGGGATGGCTCTGCAGGGGAGGGGGGGCAGGGGGGGAGGGGAGGGGAGCAGGAGGAACTTCTCCGAGAACTTATAAGCCTATGAAACTGCCCCCTGTCAGATCCATTAACTGGAAGTTCCGTGGATTAACTTGGGGCCTTCTTCGCACAGTGCCTGCATCCGGGGGGCCCCTCCCCAAGGCTCCACCACCCAAGCGGTCGGCCCAACTTTTCCAACCCGAGTCCCTGCGAATGTGCCGGACTGCAAAGTCCATCCCTCCCGGCTGCAGAACTAGTGTCAGCAGAAAGATGCCCGAGCCATAAAAATACGTAGCTGATCGACCGAGTTATCTGCGCATGAGACAGGAAGGGAGCGCAACGACAGAAAGCCAAGAGACGGCGACACAAGTGCTCCCGACACACAAATCCACCCGTGTTGATCCCGCCGACAAAGCTTCTCGCAAACTGCGGGTGACGGGAGGCCGAGTTCGTGGAGGGCCCTCGGTGCAGCGGCCCATGTTCAGAAGGGCCCCACCCCTCCCACGGCCTGATGCGCCTGAGCAACGTCTCTGCACCCGCTTTTCCTCCCCAGAGACCGTGAGAGCACCCAGACTGCTGCAGTTAGCGGATGGTCCTTCCCCGTCCGAGTCCTTGGCACCCTGCCCTGGCACCTCCTCCGTAACATTCCTTCTGCCCTCCCCTATTTGTGCGCGACCCTTTCTAGCTCTGAACTCTTCTGGTTACAGTCGTGGATGAATTAAGCAGTGTGTTCCCATCTCCTTTGATGCAACTGGGTTTCCAAGACTGCACAAAACAGGCAGGCAACAAGCTGTAGCAGGAGGACACATCGCTCCGCGCCCCCAGGGCATCCCGAAGGAGCGCTGGCAGCCACACTGGGGAAGCGCGAGAAAGCGACCCGGGAAAGTCATCAGGAACCTCCAAGCTTCCCGGAGGCCAGCGCTACTTGCCCAAGGTGACTGCCGCAGGGGTCATCTCAGCGTCTCCAAGTCGCACCTGTGGCATGCGATCACGGCCCCTTCGTTCCCCCAAGCCTTCCCTGAAGGATGACTTATTTCGTAAAGAGAATCCAGACACAGCACACAATATATAAATCTAAGCAGTGGGCGGGAAAGTTAAAATACACTGTGCTGCCTAGTTAGGTTTGTGTAGCAGTTACTCCCTTCGTCACTCTGGTTTAAAATATTCAGCGCATTTCAGCAGATGGATTCCTGCGTTTATTATTACATCCCTTGATCTGTTTTTGTAAACCACTTAGAGTTGTCTTTAGATATGCAGAGTGGTACACAAACGGATTAAACAAGAAGGACAAGAAGTTGTCACACCTGTTCACAGGTCATGATTTCTGCAAGCAGTTAGGAGGAGCATGCTTCTGAAAGGTGCAGACGTTTCCAAAGCTGCTCGGAACAGATCTCCCGGAAGGAGTTTTATGTTTTCTCCTCGTTCCATCAGGGGCATTACTAGCCATCCTGATGTCCGAAGTAGGAAATGCCAGTGGCACTCCTGATGAAGCTAAAAACACACGGACAGCCTAAATCCTTGGCAATGAGCTGCTGTGAGCTGGAGACACTGCCACCCTCTCATCTGAGACCCAACTGTGGCCAGCTGAGGAGCTGGGTCAAAAGAGCACTGCCCAGATGGACAGGGATGGTGGTCCCGGCGCCAGCTTCCTCAGAAACTCCAGACTGGGCGAATCTTCCGAAGACTGGCCCATTTGAGGTCTTTGGGGAGCTCACGAGACCACCAGTCACAGGCCTGGGGAGGGGCAGCAAACTCAGCTCCCGTTTGCGGACACAGCACAGCCCTTTCATGGGAGGAGCAGTGACCCTCTGGCCTTCCTTTCCCTGTCGAAAAATCCCGACCTTCTCGCTTGGGAGCTTTTTCTCTTTTTGTAACTGATGCGCGTCACAATTTGGCCTGCCTGATTTTGCCCAAACAGGCCTGCCTCCTCCACTGTGTCCAGAGTTTCCCCTTGTTTCAAGGTATGCCCAGCTCCTCACCGATGAAGTTGTTCCACTCCGTGTCCAGCTCCCCTTGGCTGGCGAGGCATCCCCGCATGACGTTGAAGCAGTAGTTGTAACACGGCTTCACGGCCACCAAGCCCCGGCAGTAGGGGCAGTACATCATCTTCAGCAGCGCTTGGGTCCCCTGTGGCGTGGGGTTAACCTTTGAAAAGAGCAACAGTTGGAGCAAAGGAAGAAGAGACACAAACAGAAGCATTTCCGTCATCATTATCACTACCACCACTGGCAGTCCTTCGTGGCAGCCTCACAACCTTGCAGGCACGACACAAGAGGAGCCAGGTATGGGGAGGGAAGAGGAAAGCAAGCACTGACAGTGGCTTCTTCTCTGAGGGACAGAAGGGGACTGCTGATCATTCCCATGTTCCCCACAGTATAGCAGGTGGGGGCTGCAGCCTTTCAGTGGCTCTCAGATCCCCCAGCCAGTTGCAAAAGTCAAAGCAAGTTTCCCCTGTCCAAGCTCTGCAAACTCAGGGAAACATATTGTGTTCGTATTCAAATATAAAAGGAGCCCTATCTCCACAGACAAAGCCATGTACATTCGAAGACCTCCTTACACAATACAATTGCTTGTCATAGTTATCCATGCTAAGATCCTAGTCCACTTTGAGCACTTGAGAACAGCAAGGACTTCGCAGCACAAGGGCAAAAACTGACATGGCTGCCAAGAGTGGTCCTGAGCCGCTTGCATCATGCATTGCATACTTGAGACACTCTGGTGGTCTCTGAAGAGGAAATGCTAGCATTTTCTTCCTGCGTTTGCTCGCATCCTTTCTGGCTTCGGCTTCGGCCCTTTGGCCTCCCAACCTGTCCCCTATTCAGAAGTAGCCACTGGGAGTGTCTCCAAAATGGACTTCAGCCCTTGGATGGAAAATAGTTCCCCATCTCTAATCGACACAAACAGCCATTCCTTGCCCGACTGTAGCCAGCAGAGCGCCAGTGTGGCAAAGTGGATGAGACTGCAGGACCAGGACACAGGAGAGCTGGCTTCCGGCCCTCCTCGGCCACGGGCTCCCGGGGAGACTTTGGCCGGGCACAGAGGCCCAACTGAACCCACCTCGCAGCGTTTTCACGCACGTAGAAGGGAGAACGGCAGGGCCGTGGAAACCAGCTGGGGGGCCTTGCAAGAGGAAGAAAGTTGGTGATGATGATCCACGTGCCGCACGAGGCTGGCGGAGGCCAGTTACTGTGGTCCTGCCGAACTCCAACCCCCGCCCCCCGACTGGGTTCTAGACACCCCAGTGAGTAACCAAGCTAAGGAGAGTTGGCCATTTCAGCATATTCTTCACTGTGTATTACGACACAAGAGTGTCAATGAGTCCAAATCACTCCAACAATGTTGGAGTGGAAGGGCTGGATTCTCCTGTTTTAACAGCAAAACCTGTACAGGGGTGTCTGTTTCCCCCACCTTCCCAACTGTGGGAACGCTTTCCCTCTTCTCTTCCAGGATGCTCTCCCGCTGTTCCGCATCTTCCCTCTCAGTCTCCTAACTTATCCAGCCAATCAGGGATCACAGGGCAATCCAGGTGAGGTCACCTGGTGGCGCAGCCCATCAGTTCTGGCAGCATGAGCAAATGCCCCGCACAGCCAAGCACTCGCTGACCCCTTTCTGTTAGTCTTGCAAATGATCCTAGGCTGTCAGAGCTCACATGCTAGGTAGCCAATCAGACCTGGCAGTGTGGGGATGTCCCCAGGTGCGGCAACACCTCCTGCCTCAGGTGACCATTGTTGGCCCCTTCCAAAATAATCCTTGAGAAATGGCTGAGTGGGGCGTATGCCCCCATGGCTGCCAGAAACGGTTCACGAGGAATGCGCTCCTTTTTCGGTTCAGCCCCCATTTTGAATGACGCATTGCTTCGCCATGTGTTCTTCATTATGGGGACATTTCTGAAGTCTATGAATTGTTGAATATCACTGCGGGATTTGGCTTACATATTTCCCCTTCTGCTTTTTGGTGTGTGTTTGTGTGTCAGAGAGAGAGAGAGAGAATGAGAAAGATTTTTTCTTTTTAAAAAATAAAATGCCCTCGAGGATTGGGCAGGAAATGTCCACGTTTGGCAGCAATTTAAACCCGCTGATTTTAATGCCTGTCAAGGGTTCAATAACAGCCTGAATCCCCACCCAGCCTTTCACAGTTTCTAAGGGGAAATGAGGGAGGGCGAAGAGAATATGAGAAAAGAGAGTTCCCATAGTCACAAAATTCCAAAAGGCATGAAACGTTATCTAAGAATTCGCACGGACTGAAAGAGACGGGGTGACTGGGAGGCGCAGAAGCTCAGATTTCAGATTAATACAGTTCACCTGTACTTGGCGGCTCGGCTCGGCTCGGTGGGCTTTGCTAAGATTTAATTCATTCAGTACACGCTGGGCTGTTCCTTTGAATCAATTTATGGTCCAAATGTCCCAGGGGCCACTAGAACAATCCCACACCACCGGGAGAGGGGCACGTGCCCCGAGGGAGGAAGTACCACGCACGAGGCGAGGAAGCGGAGGCTAAGGGTCAGCCGTGAATCCCTCGGCAACCCTGCTGCTCAGACCGAGTTTCAAGCTGCGAACTGCACTGTCAAAGCCAGAGGAAAAAGGGGCCACAGATCGTTCTAGCGGGGTGACACCTGCCCTGATTCAGTTGCTGCAGCAGCTAGAATCTTTTTCAGCTGCACAGCACTTTCTGCAAGGAGCCACTCGTCTGTCACAGGTCGGATGCTGCTGGTGGACGGCACCGCACCCTCCTGTCGCAGTCGCCACTGCCTTCTCGCCCACTGCCTGCCACCCTCTCTGCCCACTTTCATTCGTGGCGAGCCCCTCTCCCTCCTGCTCAAGCTCCCTCTCCATCCTTGCCCAGCAGGCTGCCCAGCAACAGACGGGCGGCATTGCCAGCGGATCAGAACGGATCGCTTGCACGGGGCTTTTTCATCGGTTCACAGGCCACACAGAACTGAGCCAAGGGACAAAGCTCACCCTTCCCTTGCAGGATCGGGGCAGGGAGGCCCAACTTCAAATCCCACATTCTGAAGATAAAAAGGGGCCAAAGTTGGAAGCAGAGAGTGTCCACCGACTTTTCCTTTCCTTCCTCCACTAAAGTGTATAAACCCTGCGCTGCTTTTTCAATTAGCCATGGGGGCGTGTTTCATACTCTCACTGGATGTTGCACTGGCTGCCTTCCCGCCAAGGTCTGAAGCGCTTCACCAAGCGCCGTTGGAACAAATGAGGGCTCACTGCGCCTCCTGGTGAGCCCCAAAGGAGGGACCAGGCGGTGGGAGAGAAGCACACGCAGGGAAAGAGCAGGATGGCGCACCACTCCTGACCCCATGGGAACATTGGAAGGAGCCCTGTGCCGAGTCAAGCACGGGTCTCTCGGCCCACCCAGTACAGGCAGCACTGACTGGCAGCAGCTTTCCACGGTATCAGGCAGGCCAGGGTCTCTCCCCCAGCCCCCAGGATGCCCCACCTGCACAGCGCCTTCTGCCACTGCGAAGGGCAAAAGCACAGATCCTGCAGCCAAGAAACCATCGCAGGCAGGAAGCAGAGGCAGTGCAGAGGACTGACACTCTGCGGGCGTTTCTGGAATTCACCCCCAGGGAGCTTGCCCTGCTCGGCCGCCTTGCAGTGCCAACGGCTTGCAGCATTTATTTCCCCAGGCATCAAAAAAAAACCTCCCGCTTTTTTGCTGCTAGAGTTTTTCTTGCTGGTTTTTTAATGTTTGTGTTTCGAGGGCTTTGTTACAATATTGTACTGTGCGAGTTGTCTGGAGGACTGCACTTACCTTGCTGGGCTGCATGAGACGTTTTAAACGAAGCGGGCGAACATGGAGGAGTGGGTTATGCAGAGCAACAGCACATGGGAACCTGAGTTTCGCCCTTCTGCTGTTCTGAATGGACCACTAAAGCAATGCACAAAGTGCATGTCTCTTCTAAGAGCAGGCCCAAGCTGGACTTATTTAGGAAGCCGCCTGTACCCGGGGCCAGACTGGCGACACCTGCCTAGGAGCTTAGGCACACGAGGCCTTTCCTCTCCCCATCCACCTGACCCTCCTTCACCTGCAGATCCAGAGCCTGAGCCTGCATCTTCTCCTTGAAGCACACCTGCTGCCCTCTGAGCCTTTCCCCAGAGGCAGAGTCTTCCCTCCTGGGCCGCAGGCCCAATGCTGCAGCCGGCACAGAACGGGCAGTGGGCCGAGGGCGAGTGGCCACTGAGCGGAGCCGCTGCGCTACCTGACCCAGCCCAGAGAGCATCCCGCGACAAGCCACCTGCAGCCCACCACCCGACAAGTGACCGTGGGTGCGCTCATCCGTTGTGCGGGATCAAGAAGCCATGGTGGGCTAGCCCAGCCGGGTTGCGGCAACCGGGCCACCCGTGCCTCAGCTACGGCCCACACTTGGGCAACCATCCACGCCCAGTTCCCGCATGCGAGCTGGCAGGAGGGCTGGCAGAGGTGTGGGCCTCTTTCGGCCCATTAGCCAATGGAATTTCGGAGAAGCCCTTGCAGGCTGGCGCTCCAGTAGAAGGTGGGGCATCGGCAAACGGATTGGGGTTCCAATTCCCCCCACACCCCCTAAATTGGAGCTTAAAGCTTTGACTGCCATATCAGAGCTTTGGACATGCACATGGTAGGCATGCCATGAGCAAAGCTGGCTGGAGCCGGGGGACCAGATGGCCTGGGAGGCCCCTTCGGACTCACTCTGGTTCCCTATGGGGAGATGCGGTTCAGCCTTGCAGCACGTGGAAAGGGCAGCTGAGAGCTGGGGAACCACCAGTGGTCAAGGGCGAAGGGAGCACGGCCACCTAGGGGACCCGGGAGGACCTGCCTGGAACCCCAGCGGGGCACGATGAGGCAAGTGCAGAAAACCCAACTCACGGTGGAGACTTTGCCAATGACGTCTCTCGCCACTGCCAGACCTTGGGCAAAGGTGCGAGCGGCCACGAACGCTCGCGTCACCTGCAGCTTCAGCTTCCGCGGCACGTCCCCGAAGGGCTTGAGCTGCTCCGTGTACTTGCTGACGCATTCCAGGTACTCGTCCGAGAAGTTGTACTGCGGGTTCACCAGGCGGAACATGCGCTCCAGCAGGCGGGCCCAGAAGTCGTTGAGCATTTCCTCCAAGTTGACGCTGCCCCCCGTGTAGTAGCGCTTCAGCTCCACAAAGAGGTCCTTGAACATTTCAGAGTTCTGCATGTATAGCAGGCCATAAGTCCTGACAAACATGTCGTTCAAGGATTTCTCGGCATTCTCAAGAAGTTCTCGGAAGAATTCTGGAAGGATGAGGAAAAGAGATGTTTGCAAGTACACAAGCTTCTCGCAGACAGCTATCCAGATACTGAGACCCATTTGTGCAAATTAAAATCACTGTTCTAGGAGTGCAAATGAAAACTTAGGAGGAGGAAGGAGTGCAAATTAAAATCACTAGCTGTATTTGATGTGTGTGCATGGGGGGAGGAATGAAGCAGAATGCTGCTTAGGATCTGGAATGAAAATAATTTACTGAAAGTAGAGGAAGGACCTTTAGTTGGGCCAATGCAGCCATTAATGCTTACCCATGACTTCCCAACAAAGCCACCAATATTTATCTACCAGATTTGTACCCTGCTTCCTAACTAAGTTCTTGGGGCAGCTTGCAACTAACATACATTCAGAAAACAAAGACAAAACAAAATGTAGAGCTGTACAGCCCAAAGCATCACCAGTGTGGCCAAATTCACAGCATCCCTAAATTAAGGACCCGAATTTTGAAACTGAGGGACCCAGGAGAGAGAAATCCAGGCCTGGCACTGCAAGGCCACACAACACACGCCTGGAGAAGTTCCAAGCTCCTCCATGGTCAGCGGGTGGCGTGTGGACGCGTCTCCATGCACATGCGTGTGCACATGTGAAACAGGGCCCATAAGACAGTCTTAAGGTTGAGGGAAGTGTGTATGGGAGAAGGGGCTCTTCAGGTAACCTGATATGGAAAGACAGGGTGGGTGCAGCGAGGGATGGAAGGTGTCAAGAACTTCCACAGTTCAGTGGTTAGTGCTCGACCTGGACCAAGGGAATGCTGGTTCGGGTCCTTGCTCCGTCATGTTGCTCGCCGGGTGACCTTGGAGCAGTCCCTTCTTCTCAGCCACACCAGGCTGTGGGGAAGACTAACCTCTAAAAGGCCCCACACATAAAAATTGCCAGGCTGGAATCAGGTCTGTCGCTGAAGGATGGAGGAACAATTAAAGTTTCAGTTCTTCCACAAGTGGGTCCCTTTCCAGGTGAGAAGCCCTATCTTTAAACTAAAGTAAAAACAGAAGCGAGAGACTGCTTCTCCAAAGTAATGCCTACTTTGGCCCTTAAGACTCTCCACCTGTGTTTTATCTGTGCCCTTTCGGATCCTGTAGAACCCCAGCCAAAGAGGCCAGCTGGATTCTGACTGAGACAGGAATCCAGAGACGGGAATCACGCAGGGAGCATCTCACACCCTGCCCGGAAAACGCAGCACACCAGCTCCAGCCACGGGAGAGATGAAAAGCAGCGGAGATCTGTGGCTACAGCCATGCGGTCAGAATGCACCACGGGGCTGGTTTTGGGAGGGGTTCGTATGGGACCTAAAGAGAGCCTGACAAGAAACATTAATACCGCCATCATGCCAGCACTGCAAGAATCCAAAAAGTGTCTAATGTAGGACAGATGTCTTTAATGCACGGCATTATTTTATCCCAGAGGTTCTTTGTAGATACCTCCACCCATCCGTCCTGGACGTAATTGCTTTATGATTTAACAGAATCCAAAATGGGGTGGAGGGAGGAGAAAGGTGAAGAATGAAGCCTGATCACTTTGGAATTGGCCAACTTTTTGGGGTGCCCCAACGGCTCTCTCTCATCGCTCAAAACCCTCTCCGGGAAAAATAATAAATCCCCATTATTTCCTCCAGGACACGCGATAGAAGAGATCCTGTCCTGTAACTTCTGACTCATGTTCAATAAATGCATTTCCAACAGCACATGCCTCTGTGCTGAAATCCTCAAAGGAGTCCAGTGTTTAGACTCAAAAGTTGTTAGAAGCGGGAGCGAAAAGAGGGGGAGAAGCAAGTCCTTGGCCCGGTTTGAATTTAAACCTTGTTAAAATGTATGAAGTATGGCGGAGTTCAAATTTTTAAAGTCTTCAAAGTGCTCCAGTACAAACAAAGTCTAACTAAGAACATTTTGGGGAAGGGGGGGGGGAGAAAAAACACCCTTAAATGCATTCTTAGAGTGTTCCTTATTAACACAGTCCTGGAGTTGGCAGTTGACAACACGGCAAAAACACGGCCTCTTGGGGACCAGAAGAGAAGCGAGTCCTAGAAAAGCTATTTGATTTCAAGGTCCTGCGTATCCTGCCAGAACACGTCCCCTTCCAGCATCACTATGAATCTGTCCACTCATTCCCAGGGCTGGCATTTCCTGTCGCAAATTTTTCCTCTCCCCTTCCTTCTCTCCATGCTGCAAATATGAAGGAGACTCGTTGGGTCTCAATTTCTAATCCACTGCACTTGAAAGGCAACTTCCTTCTGCTGCTCCCCCAGCTTCTCCTAAGCTGGTGCTGCCCAGATGTGCCCAACTACAACCCCCAGCATCCCCCAGTCAGCCTGGGGGTTATAATCAAATGCATCTGGAAGGCGCCAGGTTGGGGAAGACTGCAGTATGCTAGGCAAGGCCTGCCTGGGAAAAGGTTCAGGTTTCGAAAACACGGCTGTCAAAATGCCTTTGTGTGCAGACCAAAAAGGAGACGTGTATGCATTTGCTCCGAGACCTCAGAGGTCAATGGTAAATCGTGCTCAGAGTCCAGCTATTGTTGTTATTTTTATTAATTATTTCATTCCTATGCTATCCATCACCCAAGCTTTCTGGCCAGTTTACAACAAAATACAGAAACAAAAGATAAAGCATTAAGAGCTTAAAAAAATTAATTTAAAAGGACATAAAAGAGCTTTAAAAGACAAAGTTAATCATGCCTGTGTTGATAAATACTTCAAGGGGCCATAAAAAGAGTCTCTTGGCCCTGAAGATCTCAGTTGAAGGCAAGAGGCTTCAGGAAACGAGTGGACAAAAGCACGGGATCAGCTTCACCAGCAAGTCCAGCCAAGGGCTCCCACAAGGCGTCGGGCAAGTTCCCGCATGCATCTTCGGCTCCTGGCTCAGTGTGGGTGAACTTCACAACCTACCATACATAAAGGTCTGGAACAAGGGGAAAACTCTGGACTACAGCATCACACTCACCCCACAGATGATGGCACGAGATTCTCACGTGCCCCATCCGCTTACCCAGCGCGGCAGCAGTAACTCGGCAGGGTGTTAGCCGAGATGTCTTTCCGCAGCCTCACCTGGAGACGCTGAGCACCGAGCGCTGCAGTCTAGTGCTGGCTCAGCACTTGGGATCCTGCAACACTTTCCAAAGGGCTCCACGAAGTGTGGCCTCCATCAGTGCCCCCACGCAAGCCAGCTGCGCCACGGAGGCTGTTCTGAACTGAAGCCACACGGCCGTGGCTTCAGAGGCATGGACACCCGATGGTCGTTGCCACAGCTGACACAGAGAGGACCACAGGGCAGGGATTCCCTACGGCATGGCGGTTTGCCACCACAGCCTAAATAAAGCCTTCCCTTCCAAGCAACCTCCATCCCACCCGGTGCTTGGGGGGAGCACCTCCCACTTTGTGGCATCTGGGACCAAACCACAAAATCAACCCTAGTGAATAGCTGGATTTTGGGGTACTAAAAGCGTCTCGGAGTTGTGCTCACCTTTGGAAGCAGGAAAGCTAATGGTGCACAATTCTGTGCGACTCTGTTTGCTCAGAATCTGCACTCTTAAACAAAAAGGAAACCAAATGGAGTTCCTAACCCTTGAGATTATGGAGTGCCATTTTTGGAAGGGCTGTGAAGGACATTCTTATAATTGGACCATGTGTTAACAGGTGGCTCAAGTAACAGGGGCACTGGGAAAAGGCTGTGGTGAATATGCTAAGGAGGAACGCAAACAGGGGCCAGGGCAGGGCAAAACTGGCAGCTCTCTCTGCACCAAAGGGGCCAAGAACCGCCGGTGCGAGCCACGCCTCAGCCGGGCTCTGGCTGCGATGTAGCAGCGCCTCTCCGGATGCCGCCGCAGGCCAACGCTGGCGCGCGGAACAGGAAAGCAAGGCTACAGCGGGAACCCTGAGCCCATCCTTGGAAGAAAACTCTTCCACAGAGGACCGGCAGCATGCATGGCCCTTTCCAGGCCCCCCCTTTCCAGAAATAATTTGCCGCTGGACACGAACGTGGGAAGAGCCCCATGCTGTTCTGCAATGCTCCAAGGAGCTTGCTTTAGAACACACGCGCGCGCGCACACACACACACACACAGACAGAGAGAGAGAGAGAGGGAGAGAGAGGGAGGGAGGGGGGAGAGAGAGAGAGAGAGAGAGAGAGAGAGAGAGAGGGCAGAGGCTTGCTGCTGCCCCTTGACACAGATATGAGTTCTTCTCTGGAAGAAGCCAGTCCATTTGCTGATTAATGAGCCACCATGTGGCCAAGGAGTAACCCCTCTGACCTTGGGGGGGCGGGAGGGAGAAGAATGGTGTGCGACCCAACTGCTTTCTTGACAGTTTGAAGGGCAAAATGAATTAACACCTTTCGTTTGTCTTGGAAGTGGGACTTGTTCTCAAACAAAAGTTGTACGTTTGGAGATTACTTTCCTGTTTTACGGCATTGTAAAGGCGTGTGTTTTACAGCGGTGAGGCAAGCAAATCGGCGCTCATTAAATTATCACTTTGACAGCTTTCTTGGAGGGGCGACCGGGAGGGGGAAACCCTGTTGAACGCAAGCATTTTTCACGGGATCAACCTTCAGCACTGCAGCCGAAAGGTGAACCCCCAACTTTTTATGGCCCTTGTCTCAATTTGCTTTAGAATGAAGTCACGCTGCTCCACCACCTCGTGCATGGACAAGGCCTGGAAGGACAATGGCTGTGAGCTCAGAAAACCCACGAGTGCAGGCGGGGAGCGCCGTCTCTGCCCCTCCGCAGCAGAAAACAGAAATGTGGCAATCGCCTTGAGCGCACGCGGGCCGGGCCGGACAGGCTGCGATCACGCGGTCATCCGTCGCACGTGTTCCCGATTTGATCGTTCCTTTTTTAAGTAAGCAACGCCCACAGAAAAAGACTGCCAAGAGGGGCGACCACGCTTCCACCTCCCCCCCATGGTTCTGATCCACATTGCAGTGGGGGGGGGGGCACTCTGCAGCTGGTATTTGTCCCGGGGGGGACCTGACATTGCGGCCCAGGCTCATTCATTTGAGTCTGGGTGGGCAGCCCAGGGTCCTGCCAGCAGATTCCGCACTGGCAGCAAAGAGCGGTGGTTGAAATGCCAGCATTCTTCCTATGGATCTATTAAAAAGTTGATTTTTGCTTCGATCCAAAAACCTAGCATTCTATAGCACCAAAGAAACCATTTGAGGGGGGAGATGCACTGCAGGGCTGTGGCCAGGAAATGCCAAGAAGGCTGGGCTGGACCTCCCAGGAGTTGCCCGGCCCTGATCAAAGTTGATTGCAACTTCATACACCACTTACATATGTCACACACTCATCCTCCAAATTCTAGGAAGCTTTGAAAAAAGCAGAGCATGCCGGAGAGAGTTCACTTTGTATTTTGGGCAAAGAGAAGACCCAAAGGTTCCCGAGCCTTTTGTCGTTTTCTCCTTGCAACAACACATGTGTTAGCACTTAGCAGCAGCAGAAGAGAGCTTACTCACGCAGCTTGCAGAAACTCAAGGCATGATGTTACGCGCTGCATCGGGGCAATAGCCCTTGGGACAGAGAAACCCTTTTTTAAAAGCCAAGAAGCGGAGCTCCAAAAGAAAGAGAGGAATACCCAGTGGAGTTCACATCATGGCTGAGAAAGTCTCCGTGCAAAAAAACAAAAGCGAAAACACAGAGGCTTTATCTGAAAAGGGGCTCCCGGGGAAGGTCTGGGAACTTTTCCGCTGCCGGTGGGTCTCAGAGCTGTCTGTCTGTCTCGCCTAACACTCCTAGAAATTTCAATTTGGTCTGCTTCTCTGCAGCTGCAGCCCAGGCCAGAGGAGCAGGGTGGGAAAGGGAAAAACCCTCCAGGAGAAACGGCCGGGTGTCCACTCCTCTCTTTCTTCATGTCAGCCTTCTGGACCTGAAGCTGCTTCTTGGAGCCAGTCCACAATGCCACCTCTCCCATTTCCTTTAGATCCACTTTTCCCACAAAGCAGAGGAGGAGCCTGGATCCGGTTTGGTTGCTTGAAGGGGCAGAACAAATACCTTGTCCGTAGGAAACCAGGATCCAGCCAACAGTTCTGGCTTATTGTAACATGTGAAGTCCCCCACTATGACCAACCATGATCTACCTTTGCAAAGCATTTGCTTGCTATGCCTATTTTTTAGAGAGATGTCCATTTTTTCAGGAATGCGTCCATTTTTGGGAGGGAACCAAGAAGGTCAGAGAGAAGGGGAGTCCAAGCTTCCTCCTGGCACCCATATTTCACCACTGTCTTCCATAAATGGAACCTCATCTTTGACCGGGTCGCTTTGTTTCTTCCTAGGGGTCCTTGAACCTGAAGGGAGCTGCCTTTGGCTGGACCAGACCCCAAGAGACGGTTTGGCAGGCAGGCCTCATACGGGACATGTGTCTAGTTAGACAACCGGCGTGCACACTCCTGCCTGGCCGGCTGGCGGATCTCAGCCGGTCCAGGCCCCCAGAGGTGGAGGCGGCCCCTCCCTGAAAAGACAGCGCCCACCTTCGGACCGCCCTTCAGTGATGCGGCGTGTGCGGCAGATGAAAGGCTTCAACCGGCCGGTTTTGGACCCAACGGCCAAGGAATTCCAGCACATGCCTAGGACCGCATTCTTCCTCTGAAGGACATCTGCCATTCCTCTGTTTTATTTCAGCAACTGTTCTGGGAGGTCGAGCTGAGATCGTGTTGCTCAGTGCGAAAAGGCCGAGCCAAATATCAAGGACGAAAGCATCCAACGTCGTACTGCACACGGTCAAGGACAAGGACGAGAGGTCGCTGCCCACGCCACCAAGAACAGAGGCAAAACAAGCACCACCAGGAGCTTCTTGCCTGGGACAGAGACCGCTGCCCCAGCGTGACGTGTCCCCAGCAGCAACTTTGGAGGCTGGCTACCCATCCCTCTGCAAGGGAAACAGACCCACCGAGCTGGACAAAGCCACTCCTCCCCATTCAACACGCCCCTCAAGTATGCAGAAATGTAGGGGTGGTGAATTAGAAAGAAACAGCTTCTTTTTTAAACCCCAAAGCAGCCCAGCAGCCCGGGAAGCACTCCAGAGCATCCAAACTCTACAGAACCCTGGGCAGCTCTTGTTTCTGAGAAGTGGCGGGAGAAGAACGGATCAGCCCGGTCGACCCCCTACGCAGAGCCCGAGGGTGGTGGGGCAGGAGCGGGCAGGGGGAGGCTTGCAGTGTGGTGAAAGGGCACCCCTTCACACACCAGGTGGGCTGTTCCAAGCATGGGGAAAAATGGAAAATAAACGCCTTTCCTTTCCAGCTCTCCAGAACAGCTCACTCCCTGACAGCACAGAAACAGGGCTCTAAATCACAGCTACAAAAAGGCTCTGATTTGAAGGCAAGCACAAGGCAGATGATTTATCCTGGGTCAGGTTACCGCATCAGCCTACAAGGACCCAGTCTGCATGGCAAAAGGGTGGCTGCAGGCTCCTGGCACATGGCACAGCTCATCGTGGGTTGAATAACCCTTAAATAACCCGTGATGAGCCAGCCATGTTGTATGAAACAGCCCACTGTCTCTCTGATCTGCTGTGTTCTCTCATGGACCTCCTGCAGCTAGGTGGGCCCCGTATAAACCGCTGCTGTTGGAATAAAAGGGAGTTACCGCTGAAAAAAAATTGGATGGATTCCACTCAACTTATGGGAATGGCAAAACAAAACTCTGTCTCCAAGTTTTACTGCCGAGCTGAGCACACAGTTTAGGAATCAAAATGGAAAAGCAGCCCACAATCCCCTTGTGGGCAACTCAAGAGACTCCATCAGCAAACCTTTCTATTGAACCAGTTTGCAAAACAAGCCGCATCCCAACCCAGGTAGTCATTCCCACCCCAAGTAAGTATGGGCCAGCGGAGGCGAGAGTCCCAGAAAGAGACAAAAAACGATGACGACGACAAAACCCCGTCTGTGCAAACAGAGTCTGGAAAGATATTTTAGGACTGGCCGAATGGGCTCAGCAAGCCGCAAAGGGCCGTGACAGACTCACCATCAAACTTCTTGTATTGGGAACTGAAGGTCGCTTGCAAATGGCTGCTCGCTTCCAGGACGGCGTTTCTGAAGTCGTGCTTGCTCTGCTGGCCGTACTTCTCCTCCATCTCTTGAGAACAGCACGTGGAGCCCTGAGGGCACACCTTCAGGTGGTCGCCTAAAATGCATCAAAGGTGACAGCTTACACACAAGCACACGGGCCGATGAGGACACGCTGCAGCTTAAACAGATCCAAGGAAAGGTGCCATTTCCTCAGGCAGCGATGATGCACTCCTGGTCAGGTCCCTGGCCAATTAAAGCAAGCTTTGCTGACGGACCAAGTGGCTCAAAGAAGCATCCATTAGTTAAGTGCACGGTTAAATCTGCATCGATCGGCATGTGACTAAACGAACAGAGAAGGGGACACTTTCTTAGGTTCTGGTTGGTGTGCGTGTGTCTCCCAAGAGAGGGTGGCTGGGAAGAGGCATTCCATCAAGCGGGAATGCTTCTTTCCGTGGTGCTCATCACCTGCAGTTTTGGGCAGGCTTCTTAAACCGGCGAGGCTTCCACAGGTCACAGGGGGGACTTTACAGCTGCCCCGGAGAATATAACAAGTGGCCGGACTTCCTCCCAGAGTGGGCTGAGGACTGGCAGGACCAGCCAACCCGGTGCCTTAAGGATGTTGTAGACTTCAGTTCCCGTGTGCCTCAGCCAGCATGGCCAAGCGTCAAGAACCGTGGGAGTTGCTGTCAAACACAGCAGGAAGATCTCAGGCTGGGGAAGGCTGGCCCACAGAATTCCCGCTACAGCCCCTGCTCCAACGCCCAAAGGACGATTAGACATGGCTTGGCAAACACGGCTGTGTGGGGGCTAAGCTGGCAAGAGATGGAGTGGGGGGGGGGCCCAGCCAGGCAGGCAGTTTGTAGCCAAACCTCTCTCCTGGGGGAATACATGCTCAAGAGAATCACACACACACACACTGGTCTGTGCAACTCCTTATCTGCTAGACTGACTTCTGACACTTTGCCCAGGAAGGATTCAAGAAGCCCCCTTGGAAAGGTACGCTTCCCAGGACCAGCCACCAACTGGTTTCTTCCCATGAGACCCCAACGCCTTCAGAAACAGCTGCTTCGTATGGAACATACTTGGGGGAGCAGTGAGGTGCAAGCTACTTAACACCGCAGTGCAGGAACACCCAAGAATAGACCAAAATGAAATGAAGGACATTCATTCACATCTCCAGCAACCTTTACAATTCCCAGGACGCAAAGCAGGCCACCCAGATGTATGCTCGGTCATTCCCAGTCCTGCCACATGCGCAACCTGTCCTCCATCAAAGCATGCAACCTGCGGCGACACATCTGACAAGCACCATTCTTTTAGCTGAGCCGCTCTGCAAGCAAACCCTTCTCTCTACCTCTGGGCAGGCCAAGGACAAAGGGCGTGTCTGACTGGGGCGTGCTGCAATTTTCGTCCACTCTTACTGCAGGAAGGACCTGTTTGTTCACCAACATGACCAGGAGGGGAGGACCAGAAGCAGCCCGTGGGCCCCACAGCAAAACACCCCGTTGCCACACGGGGGAAGGTGCAGTGCTGAACCAGCACAACTGCTGGCGGGCCCAGTCCAGTCCAAGGTTGCATTCAGACAACACATTCAGACATCCAGTTCTCCAAGCAATCATTTAAGGATGGGCAATGAGCCAGCTATGTGCGCATCAGCCTGCCCCTGTGTGTGGGGCTTATTTCTGGCAGCTTCCCTCTGTTCCCAGCATTTGTTGGCCCATGATGGGCTTGCTGGAGCTTCACTTAAATTGTTTACGATCGTCTCAGATGTTGTTTGAGTGGCATTTCACTGGATAGCTCTTTTTAGCTGCCTTAAACCATGCATGTTTTGCTTTTGTAGCAAATCCCCTTAAGAGTTTTTTGGTTTTGCTTTTGGTTTGTTCTGAAGGCATCTAAGAGATAAAAAAAGATAACAATTGCTATGATGAAAATATTCTATGGAGCCCCATTCAAAAGAGGCAGGAGCCCGTAAGTACATTGTCTATTTATCCAAAATTATCCTGAAGCTACTTCTTAGGCAGTTTTTAAGCATGGAGCTCTCTTGGGGAAGCACCCAAGATAAAACCTACACGTTCATCTGCAATCCAGCAAAGATACAATCACAGAACACTTGAAAGTTAAGCGTGATCTATAAGAAGCCAAGGAGAGCGAAACGGGGCTGGTCCAGGCGTCTCAGCGAAGGATGGGAAGCGGGCCAAGCGGCGTGCGCTGCAGGCAACACAGGTGTTGCGCCAACCGGCAGGCTGGGTCGTGGCCTTCGTGGCGAAGCCTCTCCCTGCCCATCCATCCTTCCTTCCTTCCTCCCAGGAAGCACTTGCTGGGATTCCCAACCCCCAGTATTATCCTCTTCTCTCAACACACCAGCTTGTATCATCCTCTTTAACGGCTTGCCGCTTCCTTGAAAACTCAGCATCAAAGGCATCTGTGGCTAATCCAATTTCACACTAGACTTGTGGTCTCCTTATCAGGGTGCATTAGGGTTCCCCTTATCATTGCTCATTAACATGATCTTCCAGTGAGGAGCCATCTTGGCCTAGCACCGCAGAAGGGACAGCAGGCACCCCATTTAGACTCACAGGGTCAGGGTGGCACAAGCTGAGCTGGGCTGGAGATCTGTTCCATCAGACGGGCCAGAAAAACGAGGGGCCGTCAGACGGGCAAGTGGGTTCAGTGGAGCCGAAGAGCACTCCACTGCGTACCGCTCTAGGGCCATGCTCATCCTCTTCCGGGGACCGCAGAGCGCAAGCTCTAAGGGGGGACCCAGGAAAAAGCCTCCGGAGCAGTGCAGCAGCCATCGATTCTCTCCTCACAAAAGCTCAGCAGAGATGCTGCATCAGCCAGGGATTGTGAGAGGCACCGGAGCAAAGAGCTGAGGGGACGAGGAGGGCTCTCCCGTGGGTGGGTGCAGCAGCTGGGAGAGCCTGGATTGCTAAAGCTCAAGGTGCTTGTGTTGACATATAAAGCCCGAAGTGGCTCAGGTCCCGGTTATCTTGGGGAGCGCCTGCACCAGTATGTGCCTGCCCAGCCTTTGAGACCTACGCAGGGGGCCCTGCTGTGCGAGCCGCCCCTTCGGGGGCGAGGAGGGCCTTTTCTGCAGCTGCTCCCCACATCTGGAACACTCCCCCCAAGGAGGTTCGCCTGGCTTTCCCCCGCTTTCTTTTCCGCGCCATGCAAAGACTTCCTTTTTAAAAAACAGTTTTACAACTAATTGCCACAGACCTTTGTTTTGTACGCTTTACTGTATTTCATGGTTGCTTTTATTGTGTAGTACGTTATGCTTTTTATTATGTTTTATTGTGCTTTTATCTCGCGCTGTGAGCTGCCCAGAGGCGCTGTGGCACAACTGGGCAGCACAGACATGTTTTGAATAAATAGGCACCCTGCAGCTTTGCATCAAAGGTGAGCGCATTCGTGAACCGGCTGTGACTGTGTCCTGCTCCCATTACAACAGGAGGATGCGCCACAGGTAGCCAACTTGTGGCCCCCCAGGTGCTTTGGGTCACCTGCTCCCCCCGCCCTGGTCAGAAGAACCCACGATGGGGCATTATGGAACCCACGGAGTACAGGAAGTGAAAGGCCACACATGGCCTAGCTCCGGGTACCGAGTCCACCCATCGCTGCTCCTTATAAGTCCGAAAGACAATAATATTTGCTCGGTTAGTGTAATTTCTAAACCACAGGATCCTGGAGTAACAGAGAATTACTTTCTGGAGGGACAGGGCCTGTTGTCACATCCAGATTCAGAGACATCCTTTCTCTTCCACCTGAAGCACATCCAAATAGCCAGAATGCCCCCTGCTGCTTCTCCACCACCCTGTCTTCTGTCCCCACGAGAGGATTTTTAAACAGCAAAATCTAAAAATGTACCCACGGGGTCAGCACCTGACCTTCCGCTCATGTGCCTGAGTTCTCTGAAGATGTGATATCGGGCGGTATAGAAATTAAATAAAGTTTATGAGCGAAGGTTTGGCAACAGCTGCAAATAAGCCAATTAAAGAACAGCAGTAGGATGGCACAGAGAGAAGTCCAGACAGCCTTATGAATAACATTCAAGCCCATAAACTATTTCACCAGCTCGCTTGTCCAAGCAGAGCGACATCAGACTCAGTGAGGGTCCAAGTAAGAGGTCAGGATCTCGGTCCACCCATCGCCCCCAACGCGGATTGTCTATCACTGTAGAATCTGTTCAAAGTCATATATTAGTTTCCCCCTCCTAAACTGAGAAAGTTCCTCCAGAACTCTTGGATGAACACAGCACTTCTCAGGGTATCCCTCTACGACTTCTGGCCAAAACTCTGCTGTTCCAGCAGATCCTGTTTCCTAAACCTATTTAGGTTTAAAGCTTATATATTAGCCATTTATGGCACAGAGATAGGCCTAAAAGGAAAAAAATGGACTCTTCTTCCTGTCTTCTCTGGTCGCCTGGAGCAAACCAGCCAAGTGGCAGTTTACAAGGATGAAGACGGTCAATACATACGCCAGCCTAATATGATAGCCACTTGAGGTTGGCAGCAATGAGAGGGTAAGAGGAAACAAAAGAAAGAGAGCAGCAACCATTCTTCCATTGGCTTTGCTTGTGGCATTGGTCACAAGGTGTGCTGAACACACACTCAAGTTCACAGGAAAAATAATAGCAAAACTTCTGCCCAATGCATTTCAACAGCCTGAAACACTGAATCAAATTCTTGCAAAACTGCCAAATGACTAAGAAACCATCCCTTTGGATGAGTTCCGCATAGGCCCCATCGGAGGGGAAGCTATTTTCAGCAAGCCCTTTTGGTGTGCGCACGTTCAGCTGCTGGTTGGTTGTCGGAGCCTAAAGAATATACATTTCCCTTCCAGGACAGAGCTGCCCACCACAACGCAAGAAATTCTAATTATTTCTGTGGCATGCACTTAAAATACCCTCCACAACCCAAGGCTGTCTGGATTTTAATTTTTCCTTTTTCATTTTGCTTGCTGACAGCGAAGGGCCTGTGGATTTACTGCAGGGAGAACACCAGACGCTGAAAAAGGAACGAGAAAGATTTATGCCCCCTGAACATGCACGAGAGCCAAAGTGCACAATAGGACAGGAAATAAAAGAGAGCGAGGGGGAGAGAGAAACCTTGCTTC